GTCGGTTCACTCAATGATTGGCAAAAGGAGCGGCAGTTCCGGAAGCTCAACCAGAAGAAGGAAGACCGCATCGTCAAGGTGATTCGTTCCGGAAAGCCCGCCAATCTCTCAGTTCACGACATTCTTGTTGGAGACGTAATGCTTTTGGAGCAGGGTGACATCATCCCTGTGGATGGTGTTTTCATCGATGGGCACAACGTCAGCTGCGATGAATCGTCTGCAACTGGAGAGTCGGATCTTATCAAGAAGGTACCTGCAGACGCCGTAATGAAGGCGCTGCACGAGGAGGAAGTAAACCCCAAGAAGCTTGACCCTTTCATCATCTCTGGAGCCAGAGTCCTGGATGGCGTTGGAACGTTTTTGGTTACTGCTGTCGGCCAGAACTCAAGCCATGGCAAGACCATGATGTCTCTCCGCGACGATCCTGGAATGACTCCTCTCCAGCTCAAGTTGAACATTCTTGCGGGTAGGTTAATTTTATGGTCTAGCTAGGCAGGTTGCTTACAAAACTTTCAGGTTACATTGCGAAACTCGGCAGCGGTGCCGGTCTTCTGCTTCTCGGTGTCTTAACGATCGAATTCCTGGCTCATCTTCCTAACAACAACGACTCCCCCGAGGAGAAGGGCCAGCGCTTCCTGCAGATTCTCATTACATCCATCACCATTATCGTCGTTGCAGTGCCCGAGGGTTTACCCCTCGCCGTCACTCTCGCCCTCGCCTACGCTACAAAGCGGATGACCAAGGAGAACAACCTCGTCCGTCACCTACAATCCTGCGAGACGATGGGCAATGCGACTGTTATTTGCTCCGACAAGACTGGTACCCTGACGGAGAATGTCATGACTGTTGTCTCTGGCACTTTGGGCACGGGCAAGTTCCGCTTCGTTGCCTCTGACGATCAATCTACCGAGACCGGCCAAGAGGATGAGGAGTCGGATGTACATGTTGCTGGAGATGACAAGAAGTCCCAAGCTTCCACCGGAGTCCCAATGTCGAAGCTTTCATCCGCAATCGACGCAGATTTCAGAGATCTTATCAAGCAGTCCGTTGCGATGAACACGACTGCTTTCGAAACGGAGGAGAACGGAAAGCAGGTATTTGTAGGTACGAAAACCGAGACCGCCCTGCTCGACTGGGCTCGCCGATGCTTTGCCCTTCAGCAAATTGCCATCGAACGTGAGAACTGCCCTGTCCAGCAACTCTTTCCATTCAACTCGAAGCGAAAGGCCATGGGTGCTGTTGTGCGCCTCCCGAACAACAAGTTCCGTTTCTTCGTCAAGGGCGCCCCCGAGATCCTTTTGGGACAATGCACCAGCGCCGTATCTGACCCCACGAAGTCTCCTACGACTGCGTCAATGGCATCGGATCAGCAGGAGCACATCCGCCAAATCATCACCGACTACGCCCGTCGCTCCCTCCGTACGATTGCCCTCGGCTACCGCGACTTTGAGCAGTGGCCCCCCGAGAACGCCCGCAAGGAGGAAGGTTCCCAGAACATCGAATTCTCCAGCATCTTCAAGAACCTAACGTGGCTTGGTGTTGTGGGTATTCAGGATCCCGTCCGAGCTGGCGTTCCGAAGGCCGTGGAGGACTGCCGCACCGCCTCTGTCTCCGTCAAGATGGTCACCGGTGATAATGTCGAGACGGCGAGAGCCATCGCGAAGGATTGCGGCATACTTACAGAGAAGGGCAAGGTCATGGAGGGAATCGAGTTCCGCCGCATGGACGATCGCGAGCGTGTCAACATTGTTCGGGATCTGTGTGTATTGGCACGATCCAGCCCCGAGGACAAGAGAATCCTTGTCAAGGCTTTGCGAAGTTTGGGCGAGGTTGTCGCCGTCACTGGCGATGGCACGAACGATGCGCCTGCCCTGAAGTCTGCGGATGTCGGTTTCTCCATGGGTATCACTGGAACCGAAGTCGCCAAGGAAGCCTCTGATATCATTTTGATGGACGATAACTTCTCGTCAATCGTCAAGGCCATGGCTTGGGGCCGCGCCATTAACGACGCAGTCAAGAAGTTCTTGCAGTTTCAAATCACCGTCAACATCACTGCTGTCGTCCTCACCTTTGTCACCGCTGTGGGCAGCGAAACCCAAGAGCCCGTCTTGAACGCCGTCCAGCTTCTCTGGGTGAACCTCATCATGGATACCTTCGCCGCCCTCGCCCTCGCTACCGACCCTCCTACTGAGAGCATGCTCCACCGCAAGCCCGAGGCCAAGACCGCCGCGTTGATCAACACGCCCATGTGGAAGATGATTATCGGCCAGTCCATTTACCAGCTCATCGTCACCCTGATCCTCCACTTTGTCGGTCCCAGCTTCCTCAACTATCCCACTGGCCAGCAAAAGACGCTCGTCTTCAATGTCTTCGTCTTTATGCAAATCTTCAAGCTCATCAACTCCAGACGCATCGACAACAACCTCAACATTTTTGAGGGCATCACTAAGAACAAGCTCTTCGCTCTCATGATGTCCATCATGGCCGGTGGCCAGGTGCTTATCGTTTTCGTCGGAGGCGCCGCATTCAAGGTTGAGAAGCTCAACGGACCGCAGTGGGGCATCTCTATCGTCCTCGGCATCATTTCGATCCCTGTCGGCGTCCTCATCCGCCTCTTCCCCGATTCGTGGTTCGTCGCCATAGTCAGCCCCCTTGCCTGGGTATGGTCCAAGATCCCCAAGTGGAAGCGCAAGAAGAAGACAGACGAGGAGGACAGCGAGCACCTGGGCGCCGGTGGCGTCAAGGATGCCCTACTCGAGATCAGGGACGACCTCGCCTTCCTCAAGCGCATCAAGGGAGGCAGAATCAGCCAGATCAGCGAAGTCATCATGAAGCCCCGCGAGTACCGCGAGAGAACGCGCAGCCGGAGCGGGTCCAGATCTTCGAGCAGACATAATGCGTCGCCGATGAAGGCCGCCCTGGGCATGCCCGGTATCTTAGCGGCTAGTGTTGGAGGCTTGTCGCCTGTTGAGCGGCCCGTGTCGCACGACAGCCGGAACACGGATGGAGAACGCGATCAGGAGGAGAGTCGCAAGGACTGAGAGGCTTGACAGGAGCCCGAGGTAGGCCCTCGTCAGGAGGACATTCCGCGGTGAGCCTTCCATTATGCATTGGGTGCCCCTTCGGTGTGAGGGACATCCAACCCTGTTTGTCTATCTGAGCGTGTATTGGCTTTTTTCTTTTCTTTTACCCCTTCAATGTTACGAATAAACCAAACCGATCGAGGTCCGACATGTACTCTTGCCCTTATTTTCCTTGGACCGATCGAGAGATACGACATAACCACCCCTCTGTACGATAAATTCCACCAACAAAATCAAAAGATATACACACGCCTGATAGACCCGACGATCGTGTACAGTGCGAGACCGAGAAAGAAAGAGAAATAGTTAATCCAATGATACCAATTTTCTATCACATAATGACTTGATACCAGTGACTAAATGTGTATGGCGCTGAGAGGCGTCCCACGTATGATTCTCAGGTCGAACTAATCCACTCACATGTAAAAAGATGTCGGGTCAGATAATACTAGTCGTCAGTCATTTTTGACAAGAGTAAGTGTACACAGGTATCTGCAAGGGAGAGCAGCTGGCCTCCTCATACAAGCAACCAAAACAACACACCAAAAAGCAATTGGCATTGATCGAATTGGCAAAAGAGTTCACCCCCACCGGTGCTGAACTGGGGGCTACATCTCTGGCGCTCATGCTGGGAATTTTTGGGGTGCTCAATCCGGGACTCGAACTCGTATGCGCTTAGCCTGTCGTCGAGTAAGGCTGGTTGGCGATTTGATTATTGACCATAAACCACTCCACCACCCAGCCAGTTTGACCTGACCCGTCGACCTAGACGGGCGCCTGCTGGCTGGTGACGGGAATGGAATTGAAGGGGTATATGAAGGGCTTCTTTACTGTCTGGTGCGTATTCAGGTCGGGTGGGCGGGCGGTGTGGTGGTAGTGAAGGGTTATGGGATGAAGGTTTTGGGCAGGTACGGTTGGCGCGCCCTGCCTGCTCTCCGGGTACGATTATCGGGAAGAAGTGGTTAGGCTCTGGGCCGGAGGTGAGCGAGTGAACAACGCCTCAGACGTATAAGGGTGCGTCCATATGGTACCTCGTCTTTCTCTGCCGAGAAGTGATGGCGTAGTGCTTTATAGGATCAGATATCTCCCCAGGTAGTTGTGCTCTTAACGGCATACAACAAGAATATCGGGCTTACACCAAATACTCCTTCCGCTTGTGTTACTAATAACTCAACATTTTATGTACGCAGCTTCTTCAAGATGCAAGGGGGCGTTCATTATTGAGAATCTTTGTAGAATATTTTAACATGACTACTGATGCTATGCTCTCTAGGTTTGAGAGGACTAGGTAGCTAGCTAGCACCTCTAGTCTATGGTCCCGCTCTGTTGCAGTTGACTATATAAGTCAACAGGATATCACAGGCTGAAGAATCTTTCTTACCAGGCGCGCAATAGACTCAATCAAGTCAGTTCTGTTGAGATGGAGGGACTTGAGGAGGTGACTAGCGTGGCAGGGAGCATCCATAGTTCTCTGCGATGGGCGAAGGCGGCAGTGAATCAAAGCCTTAGACCACCCTGACGGTCTCAATTTGGATATAATTCACCATGGAATAAGCGTCCAGAGGCGTCGGCAGGCCCCAGGTGGCCGAAGGAGCCTACATGTTTCGTTCCGCGAGAGATGCCAGCCTGCTCACGGAATTTCAGACCAAACCCCCAGCAGGGATCCAAGTTTTGTTATCCAAAACGAGGATATGCTGACATGGCTGTACAAACGATGGGTTCTATGGTGTAGGGGCAGGCTTTTATTGAATTCGACTAAATAGACGGGAGATTAGATAGGAGTGAGCTAGCTGTCAGACATGAAATGCTCTTTCAGCCAGATGTGTCATGTGAGAGAAGTTTGCATAGGTATGATAAGTGATGGAAGAGTTTTGCGAGTCCATTCTACCTGAGGTAAAGAAGATCAAAATCAACATCCTAAGCCTCAAACTCTGGCCAACTTTGAATCTCAGCAACAAGATCCGCAAAATCCTCATCCCCCGCCTCCGCCCTCTCCTTAAACGCCGCGTAGTTCTCCTGAGCCCACGCAAGCTCATCGCCAGCCAATGGTGTCGGGAAACTGGCTTTCAACCCGGCGATGAGGTCCCCGGTAACAAAGACCGACCTCAGTTCCAGATCCTGAGGCGGCAACTCGCCTTCTTCATCTACCGTCTCCAGGTGCACGATCCAGGCCCACGCGGCTCGGATCTCGTAGCATAAAGAGGTGAAGTCCTCCTGCGTCCGGGAGGATCCTCGTCGGACGCGCCCGACGATGCGGTTTGATTTGCGCTGGGGGTTGCGATTCAAGGATTAGTAAATGTGTTTACCCCTATGTAAGGTACGGAAGGATGGGGGTGTCACTTGTCTCCCGCCGACGTAGGTTGGGGTGTTTGATGAGTCTGTGAAGATGACGTTGATAAACATTCTAGGGACGGTAAATTTGGTGCTGTGTATTGCGGTGATGGATTCGGCGAGCTGATCCCTCTGGCTTTGGCTTAGAGGGGTGGCGTGAGATATCTCGTAGAGAGGCATTATGTGTAATTTTTTTTTCAAATGTTCTTGCAAACAACTATGTTTAATAAATTGAAGTTCTAGTTCGGGTGTCGTGTCAAATGAAAACTTAATGAAGATACTATTTAGAGTAAATGCAATGATGGCTTTGGGCTTGCTTCATTCCACACTAAGCAACATCATGTGTAATCGCACGTCGGGGATTGCACCGCGGCCTGGCAGCTGACAACAACCCCGCAGGGAACCCATCCTAAGCAAAGTACGCTCGAGTTCTGGGAGAGTAATCACAAAATCCTAGAAAAATGTGGGGATGTAGAGTGTTTCCATCGTAGGTATGATTTCCGCACCTTCAAGATATGGACGAGATGACCTTCGCCCCTATCAGTAGTGAACAGTATACAGCGCGGTGCCCCTCGTGTCCATATCTGCGCGGTTATATGACGCTTCAAGGCCACTCTCATTGTAGCTGTATCAACAGTACTCTAAGAACCAATATCTACGGAAATGAAAGAAGGAAAAAAGGCGGGAATTTCATTTCAGTCCACCGCTAAGTAAAATACTTTGGCCAGTCAAGTACCCAGTCTTACACAGCATCAAAACAACATTAGCACACTCCTGCGGCGTCCCCAACCGCCCAACGGGGATATTCTTCACATCACCAGGCGTGCCCTCCACACGCTTCTCATCGGGAATCATTCCCGTATCGCCAATCATGGCCGGCGCGACGTCGTTGAGCGTGACACCGTCCTTGGCATGCTTGGACGCGAGATTCTTCATCAGGCCCGTCATACCAGCCTTGCTCGCGGCGTAGTGGCAGCCATTGATGCCGCCGCCAATGGCTGATATCGACGACACGAAAACGATGCGGCCCCAGCCCTGGGAGACCATGTGCGGCATGGCGATCTTGCACAGCAAGAAGGAGGAGCGGAGGTTGATGTTGATGGTGAAGTCGAATTCTTCGAGGGAAATGTTTTCCAGGTATGGGTTGGCTTTGTTGTTGAAGCCTGCCGTGCCGGCGTTGGATATGAGTATATCGGGGGTATGGCCGTGTTGGTCTTTGATATTCTGAAAGAGTTCTTCGATTTCTGTGGTGGAAGACATATCCACTACGTGACATGTAACGTCAGTGTCGTCGTCTGTTGAGTTTCGAAGCTCAATAGCGAGGTCTGTAATTTTGGCCAAGGTTTTCTCGGATGAACAAGTCAGGGCTAGACGCGCTCCATTTTTGAAGAGCTCTCGGGCGCAGGCTCCTCCGATTCTGAGGTTGTCAGGGACGAACTCGCTGGATGAGGTTGTCGCCTCAACTCACCCACCAGAGGCACCTGTCACCAAGGCCAGTCTGCCTCTGACTTCGTTATTCACAGAAGCCATGGTGACCGATCGGCCTTCACTTGAGCGGCTGTTGAGGCCGGAGGTAAAGAAAACACTCCCGGCGATATTCCACTACGATGTGCGGATGACAGTCCTTGTTTGTACCTTGTCTCTTGGTGAGGTTGCAGCTGGGAGGTTATGCAAGGGAAGCTGGATTGACCCCGCCATAAGTTGCCCCACTGTAGCTTTATTACCCCGCGATCTCCAATGATGTGAACGGCAATGGGAACTCAATGAGATTGTGTTTCCGATTTCGGATGATATTGAGTAGGGTGTTTGGTAAGAGTAAGCAGTCGTAATTAGTGTCAAGTATGCAAAGTCTTTGCCGTGAGGATTGAACTTCAGATTCGTAATTTAGTGTGTAATTCCATTCTGAAACACTCAAGATAGAGGCTCGGCATTCTACCTGTCAGTCAAGCCCTTTCACATCGGGTGTAGTATGCCTGGTCGACTCGAAATGGGCTGGTTGTCTCATCTCCCTTATTGAATCTGGGTAACTCTGTCTTGTTGCTAAGAATGTCTGCCTTGTCTCCTGTGCAAGTGCCTCATGCTACAAACAACTCTGATGTAAGACTGTCTTTTTGGCAACGGGATAAGACAGCAAAAATTGCTTGAGGACACTTGTCTACAAACAGGTTGCTGCCAATATGTTGGATCTGCGGTGACTGACCGCTCATGTGATGGTGTCATAACCCACGTAACCTTTAGGTAATTCTCAGTCCGTAAAAGTGTCCATGAGTTGCTTGGTCAAACAAGATTTGAAGATGGGAAGCTGGGCGTTGGCCCCTTTAATGTGGCTTGAAAGCAGCAAGTGGATCACAAGCCCCACTCTTCTCGGGACAACTGCCACAAATCCCAGTGCTTAATCTTATCGCACCAATGGAACGCTTATCGTGTGGTCAGCCTTGCATTTGGGGAGAAGGCGCCACAACTTTTTTTTCTTACAGCTGTCCTCTTCGCCAGGACAGGTAATCCACTAGAAGGTACCCTGCCCGAAGACGACCTGGACCCAGTCTGGGGAGGAGAATGGCACCGAAGCCAATAGAGGACACCTTCACGAATCTCCATTCAACGACGCTCCGTTGTCCATATTTGTGCTCCTAGGTCGCCATTGTCTCGAGGAACCCTCCTTCTTTTTTTTGACTTCTCCTCTTTTTGTCTTTGGGTTTTCCTCGCTCTCTAGATTTATAACACTCCTGCGTCTCAAGTCTCACACTGGGACTTGTCTAACAATCCGTGTTAGTTTCGACGTCTGTCACTCCCACACGAACCTGCCTAGACGACCCTCCACAGCGCCGCTGGGCGCAAACTACACATGATGGCGCAACGAACATTCTCGCCATTGGCAGTGGTCCTTGGCTGTGTCTTCTTCTTTTCCACACACGTCTTTGCCGTCTCCGCCGTCCTTGGTGTTGACCTCGGTACCGAGTACATCAAGGCTGCCCTCGTCAAGCCCGGTATTCCTCTCGACATTGTCCTGACCAAAGACTCGCGCCGCAAGGAAATCTCCGCCGTCACCTTCAAGCCTCTCCAGAGCGGTCCCAAGTCTGGATCCTACCCCGAGAGACTCTACGGCTCCGACGCCATCGCCCTCTCCGCCCGCTTCCCTCACGATGTCTACCCCAACCTGAAGACGCTCCTCGGTCTCTCCGTCGACGACCCGATTGTCCAAGAATACGCTGCTCGACACCCTGCCCTGCAGCTCGAGAAGAACGAGGCGCGAGGAACCGCTGCTTTCAAGAGCAAGGTCTTCACCGAGGAAGAGGAGGCATGGCTGGTTGAGGAGCTCTTGGCCATGGAGCTGCAGAGCATCCAGAAGAACGCCGAGTCTGCGGCTGGAGCTGGTACCTCTGTCCGCTCCATGGTCCTGACGGTCCCTCCTTACTTCACAACCGAGGAGAAGCGCGCCATCCAAGCCGCCGCTGATCTCTCTGGCCTTAAGGTCCTTAGTCTCATTAGCGACGGTCTTGCTGTTGGTCTCAACTACGCCACCTCCCGCCAGTTCCCCAACATCAACGAGGGAGGCAAGCCTGAGTATCACCTCGTCTTCGACATGGGTGCCGGTTCCGCCAAGGCTACTGTCATGAAGTTCCAGGGCCGCACGGTCAAGGATGTTGGCAAGTTCAACAAGACCATCCAGGAGGTTTCCGTCATTGGCACTGGCTGGGACAGGACTCTGGGCGGTGACGCACTCAACTACCTCATTGTCGACGACATGGTCGCTCAATTCGTCGAGTCCAAGGGTGGAAAGAGGATCTCTGCCGATGCCGAGAAGGTCAAGGCTCATGGACGCGCCATCGCGAAGCTGAACAAGGAGGCGGAGCGTTTGCGCCACGTCCTCAGCGCCAACCAGCAGGCCGGCGCAAGCTTCGAGGGACTCTACGAGGATGTCGACTTCAAGTACAAGCTCACCCGCCCTGACTTCGAAAAGATGGCCGAGACTCACGCCGCGCGTGTTGACGCCGTTCTCCTGGGAGCTTTGAAGACTGCTCAGCTTGAGCTCTCTGACCTGACCTCTGTCATTCTTCACGGTGGCGCTTCCCGAACACCCTTTGTTCAGAAGCAGCTGGAGCAGATCGTTGGCTCCGCCGAGAAGCTTCGCAGCAACGTGAACTCTGATGAGGCCGCCGTTTTCGGTGCCGGCTTCCGCGCTGCCGAGTTGAGCCCTAGCTTCCGTGTCAAGGAGATTCGCATTTCTGAGGGCGCCAACTACGCCTCTGGCATGAAATGGACCAACAACAAGAACAAGCTCCAGCACCAGCGCCTGTGGTCCGCCGTCTCCCCTCAGGGCGGTGTTCCCAAGGACGTCACCTTCACCAACCACGAGGACTTTGATGTCACTTTCTACCAGCAGATCGAGTCTGCCGAGAAGGATACCAAGGTTTTCTCTACTAAGAATCTCACTGCCTCCGTCGCGGAGCTGAAAGAGAAGTACTCCTGCGTTGACAGCGACATTCACTTCAAGGTCGGTGTCAAGCTCAGCGGTGAGAGCGGCGAGGTTGAGGTTACCAAGGCTACTGTCGAGTGCGAGGCCGAGGCCCCCGAGAAGGAGGGCTTTGTCGATGGCGTCAAGAACCTGTTCGGCTTTGGCAACAAGAAGGGAGACCAGAAGCCTCTTGATGGAGAGGAAGACGAAGAGTCCTCAGCCACGGAATCCGAGTCCTCCACTACCGCCTCGACCAAGACGGAGTCTACCACCGCCTCCTCGTCGCCCGTTCCTAGTGACGCTGCGGCTGATGGCAAGGAGCCTGCCCCCAAGAAGAAGGAACTCGTCACCGTCAACGTCGACTTCACCCTTGAGAAGGCCGGTCTACCTGAGCTTTCCCGCGATGAGCTTGTCAAATCCAAGGATCGCCTCAAGGCCTTTGAGGCTTCAGACAAGGCTCGCCGCTTGAGAGAGGAGGCCCTCAACCAGCTCGAGGGTTTCACCTACAAGGTCCGCGACCTCCTCGAGAGTGACTCCTTCATCGCGGCCTCTACCGCCGAGGAGCGTGCCACTTTGGAGAAGAAGAACAGCGAGGCAAGCGACTGGTTGTACGAGGAGGGCGCCGACGCGTCCCGCGATGAGCTCAAGAAGAAGTACAAGGAACTCAATGACCCCGTCACCAAGATCCAGAAGAGAAGCGAAGAGTCCGAGAAGCGCCCTGAGCTTATCAAGGCTCTCAAGGAAGCCCTAAACTCCACCCAGACTTTTGTCGGCACAATCAGGAAGCAGATTGATGAGTACGATGAATGGCACGCCTCGGCAGCCACCGAGTCTTCCTCCAGCACCTCTACCGAGACCCCCTCAGCAACTCCCTCTGGCGACTTTGACGGCCTCGAGGACGAGGATTCCACCGGCAAGGAGCGCACGATGGAGGATGTCGTAAAGGAGAAGGGCCCCGTCCCGCCCCTTTACAAGCGTGAGGACATCGAAGTCGTTGAGGACGTCTACGAGACCACCAACAAGTGGCTCAATGAGATGGAAAAGAAGCAGGAAGCCCTTGCCTCGACTGCGGACCCCGTTCTTCTCGTCAAGGATCTTCAGGCGAAGCGCGACAAGCTCGACAAGGCAGGCATGGACCTGGCCATGAAGGGCGTCAAGAACATGGAGGGCAAGACCAAGAAGGCTAGCAAGGCGGCTAAGGCAGCCAAGAAGACAAAGTCCACCGCCACGGCCTCGACCTCCGCGACCGCCTCTCCCGAGGACGGCAAGAAGTCTACCACCACCATCCCCTCTAAGAGCTCAACTGCCGGCGAGGCCCCCGCTGGCCGGACCGTTGAGCTTCCCGGTGGCGGAAGTTACGTGCAGTTTGGCGGCAGCGACGGCGACACGCCCAGCGAGGCGGAGATTGAGGAGATCCTCAAGAAGTTTGACCAGTCTCAACAGGCCCAGCAGGCCGCCGCCAAGGAGCAGGAGGATGCATTGGAGCACGATGAGCTTTAGAGATAATTGGATGGATTGTAGATTGGGGGAGAGAGAAGATGGGCTTTGAAGTTTTTTGCGCATACCATACCTAGGCGTTTCTACAGATGAAATGGAATTACAGACAAATCAAGACAACTGCCAACTTGCCTTTTGGATCGTGACTATTTTCCCGTGCGGGCTGAGTGACAGCGAGGCGGACAACATCGTGAACGTCAATTTCGTTTCAACTACGGATCCTGCAACCTCCAAGCCTCGATCTTGACGAGTCTCGCTGCTCCCACGCTCCATCAGCAGCAGCAGGAACCCTTCGGGTCGTGCCACATGAGAGTCGAGTCAGGCAAACTGAGTATCCGAGAACAAAAGGCCACGACGGAGCAAACATGGCCATTTGAACCATTCGCAATCGTCAGTAACGACGAGCCAGTTCATCAAGTCATTTCAACATCATCAAACGTTCTACAGAGGGCAGCACCGCCACCTCGCCTTGCCGCCGTCCGCCTCGTTTCCCAATGGCTTTACGTTGGCATTCCCATGATTCAGAAGGTTGACCCAAACTGTTTACTACGATAGTTGAGGAGTAGACGAATTTGAACATTACCAACCACGATAAAAAGGCAACCCCGTGATACACGCGGCCGACATCGCCCGACGGTTCCCGTCGGCAGAGCGCATACATCTCACCCCGTACCACCACTCAGTATCTCGCCGAGAAGACCCATAGTCATGTGCTGTTTGCCAGCCTCTTCCCATTCGATCTTGTATCGCCCCGGGGAAGAAGTGTATGTAGCTCCCGATATAGCTTTAATAAGATACTCACCGGTTTTAGCCTTGTTCAAAAGTGGCAACCAAAAAAAGGAGGAATCCGGTGCAATCCTCGGACAATTTGTTTCCATACCTCGAGTTGCAAATCGTTGTACATTCGTGTGGCTAGCTTCTTCTCTGTAGCTCCATCATTACAGGCTGTCACCATCATCATCATCATCACCACCAGCATCGCGACGAAGCCCCAAGTACGGACCGTTGTTTGCCCTCTCACCTTCGGTATTCGGTGTACACCGGTGTAAGGCGAGACCACCCCCCCCCCCCCCCATGATAAAGTCTCACTCCAAATTGCCCCATCACAATCAAACCATGCATGATCCGCCAAAGCTTTTTGTTTTGGTTCTTGTCCCATCCCAATCTCTCTTTTGAGTCATCAACGTAAGGGAGAAATGGGGAGATACAGGTAGACAAAATGGAACCCCATGACCAACGACTCGGTAACATCAACCCGTCGGCTTTCCTTCCGGCCATTCCTATTCTTCGTCCTTCTCCCCCCTCTTGCGCCCATTCTCCGTCTTCGCCTTCTTCTTTCTCAAGACACAAAAAGCTAAAGACGGATATCTGCACGACTCGGGGGTTTTTTCCTCCCCGGCCTCCGCCCCAATATCCGCGGAGTGACACATGTTGCACTCGCATGTAAGGAACGGCGAAAGTCAGGCAACAAAGAAGGGGCGGATGCAAGGCAAAGAGGAAGTATGCGAGAGAGAGAGAGAGAGAGAGAGAGAGAAACAACAAACAAGATCGTGTTGCGACATCGTCACTAGTCTCGTTAGCACCAAGTCTCGGTACGAAACAAACAAATTGCCTTGTCGACACTCATCCCCTGGAACTGAAGAAACTAGGATCAAGCTTCCGTAAAAGCAAAGGTGAATGCATGCAAGAATAGGATATATATAGAAGGGGGAAATCCCGCTCCCCCCCTTTTTGCGAAAGAGAACATCTCTGGCATCCTCACCCAGATCAAAGGTCTTCAAACTCTGAATTCAATAGCCACCAAACATCTGACAACCCGCAACGATGATCCCCTACCTCGCCTTCCCGCTGCTATGGTCGGCATTGGCACACGCCATTCCGACCAGTTCCCAACAACAACACGCCGAGCTACCGGACCTCCAACGCCGCAGCACCAGCACCCTCAAGGTCTCCGCCCGATCGAACCCAGACTTCGTCCTGGACGGCCCGGCTGCCCTCGCAGCCGCCTACGAACGGTGGGACATGCCCGTTCCGGAGTCGCTCGCCAACCACAACATGTTGACCCGGCGCGAAGGATACGAATGCAAGTTGCGCCCCCTTCCCCCTTTGCCCCTTTCCGTCGATCTCGGAACCGCAAACCCCAACGTATAACCCAAAGCTGACATACTCGTGTTCAGCCGCCGTCGTTGCCGCAAAGAGCAGCAATGACTTTTACTGGCTGACAGACGTCTTCGTCGGGTCAGCGATGCAGAAGATGCCCGTCATCATCGACACCGCATCATCCGACTTGTCAGTCCTTTCCGTCCCTTGAACTCTTGAAATCTCTCCAACTTACACGATGGAACAGCTGGCTGATGACCACCGATACCGAATTCGGCGACGTAGCCGTGAATGGCAAGCCCGCGCTCTACGACCCTGCAAAGTCGGCGTCGAGTCAAGAGGTCCCTGGCGCAGTTTGGGAGTCATCGTACAGTACGTTCTCGCTTCATCCTACCACCACCAAGTATCCCAACTGACAAGTGACCGATAGTCGATAAGTCCACCAGCTCCGGCAAGGTGTACTTCGACACCGTTGGCTTCGGCCTGGTGACGGACAACAACCACTTCACCATCGCCAACACAACAATCCAATCCGCCGTCAACGTCGCCCCGCGGTGGGCCATCGAACCCAAAATCAGCGGTGTCATGGGTCTCGCCAAGAGTAAGCCCTCGTCTGTCAAGCCCGGTATGCCGTCCATGCTCGACCGTCTCAAGCCGGCGCTGCATTACGAGTGGATCGGTATCGATCTCCGAGCCAATTCGAATAAGGGCTTCTTCTCCTTTGGATACGCCTTGGGCACAGTGGAGACCAATGAGCCGCCCGTGGACGACGACGAGCACTGGAGCTTCGAGCTCAAGGGAACTCGCACGAGCACTATGGACAGCAAGCAGTGGAACGTGTTCAAGAAGCGTACCATTGCCACCATTGATACTGGAAGTAGTTTTGTGCTTCTTCCTGGCGACATGGTTGCTGGTTACTATGCTGGCATTCCCGACTCGGCTCACGATCCAAAGCTGAAAGCCTGGGTGTTCCCGTGCGCTTCGGCCGCAAGCATTCCCGACATGCTCTTCCTTACAGCAGGCGGTTACGTGGGCACGATTCTCAAGGAGTCTATCAATCTTGGCCCTGCGCCTGGGAGCTCCGAAATGTGCTTTGGTGGGATTCAGAATAGTGCCACTAATCGTTCTATCTTTGGAGGCGTCGCCCTCAAGAGCATGTTCGTCCAATTGAATTATGGAGCTTCAGGAACCTTCGTCAGCTTTGGGAAAAAGAGCTCGTACGATGTTTGTTCGACGACGACAGCCTGTCAATCATAGGAGTTCGAGGCAAATGCTACTTCGCTAGCCAGGATTGGAAGAGGATCCGTTATGTCATTCAAGTGGCGTTCGCAGAGTTCCTAAAGGTGTCGCCTAGCTAGAATAATCAGTTCATCCATTCGCGTGTACACCTCTGGTCACAAGGGAAACACAAAAGTGAGATGCCGCGTGCGCGCAGACCCACGACGCTTGGAGATCCGGAATTTGCACAAGGTGAAGCCGGCCGTGTAGTCCGACAACCCGAAGGTTTTGTGACTTGGCAGCCGTGGAAAATGCTCACTGTGCGTCCCAAACGATTGAGGCAATTTAGAGGTGAATTTCCACTTCTTCGTCTGGTATATACAGATGCCCCTCTTCTCTCAGGGACGTGCCATCAATGACCAGAGGCAGTCGATCCATCTTGGATGATCCGCTCAGGCATGCTCAAACTCCATAAACTTGGTGAAAAATGCGTGACCACTCAGGCTCGCAAGAGAAGAAAAGCCAACTGCAAAAACATATCGGGATGCTGAAGAATTCATGCTTCCAAGTCTAGGAAGCGCTCTGGAAAACGTAGCGAGCGACGCCCCGTCTCGGGTTGTGGTAGCCGGCATGGGTACATGCCAAAGGTAAAGGCCCTTTTCAGTCATGCTCAAGCCGAGAGTGCAACATTGCTACTATAGCTTGGTGAAGGCGTTAAATCGAGGAGTGCGGGTATATGCGAGAATGAGCTCGAGCCGGTGCAAGTAGTCTGGTTGTGCAATCTAAAAGGGCAAGTCTACCCTCATGCCTGGTCGCGGTCGCCGTCTGAGTGAGCAGAAAGAAGCAACAGTCAGCATTTCGTAATACACATTTGACTGGTGATTTGCTCGGTAGAGGCGGTGGTACTGGAAGAAAGAGAAGAATCGGGCGGGACGTGGTATCATGGGTATTTGTATGGGTTGTGTAGGAAACATGCAGCGATCTAGTGTCGGGGTGGGTGGTCGTCAAGGTCATCCTTGCCGACGAATTCGTATTCACCTTCGCTGGCAGTAGGCGTGGGCGGCATGTTCGCCGAAGACGGGGCATGAGGCTGGTTCTGGCGCGCCGTACCTGGTCGTGACCTGGCCTTCTCCTGGGCTTCCTTTGACAATGCTGGGGCAGCATCTCCCGCGACAGCAGCAGGCTGTGTGGCGGCTTGCTTGTTGACATTGTTGCTTTTCAACCGCTCCTCCATTTCGCGAATGCGACGCTCGAGAGCTTCAAGCTCGCTTGTCTGGCTCTGAACATTCTGCTTTCTGTAACGATTCTCTTAGCTTTCTGACTTTACTCCTTTGGGTGTAAAGCTGCATGTCGTAAGGTGAAACATGATTCTGGGTGTTGCGGCTCTACATACCGTTGGTCAAGCTTCTCGTCTGTGACGGGTTCGTCGAGGCGGAAGATGTCGGCAAGCTCCTGGGAGAAGGAACGAGCAATGGTACTGCACGACTGCGGGTCAGCTGCGTATCTCGGAAGGTTTTTGGTTAACTGGGGCGGGCAACTGGAACGCACGATTGAGGGCGGCGGCCATTGGGCTGCCAGTCGAGGTCGAGCTCGGCGTCGGTCATGTTGTGCGCCATTTCGTGTGTAGTGAGGACCTTCGGGTAGGCAAAGAAGACGAGGTTGTGAGGTTGCGAGTGGGAGAAAAGAGGACTCGCAATCAGGGACTGGAGACGGTTGGGTTCGTGGTCGACCAAAAAGGGAGGATGATCAGCGGTTAGTGGTGGACAGTGTCGACAGGGTGCTTGTCACACCGATGTGGTAATCCAAGCAGGCGGGTAGTAATGTATGGTGGATAAGAGGCGGTAAGAAGGGTTGGCTGCGCAATACTCTAGAAGAGAGATGGAAGATGTCGAACAACTGCAGTGGTGGGTTTGTCGCGAAAGATGGATGGAGCAAGGCACAGGCAGAGAGGGGTATCTTTGATGCGCCGGAGAGAAAGAAAGCAGAGCTGAAGGGAGGTGGGCGAGTATTTGTTTCGTCTGTGGTTGTCTTGTCTGCAAGCGGCAGGGAAAAGGGGATCGGTGATGGTGGGAGAGGTGGAGGCGGGAACTTGAATGGGGAGGAGGAACAAGGAAGTCAAGTCGGGACAGGAACGGCGGAGGCTTTTGGATGCGGGATGGACTTGGACTTTGTAAGGTTGAGGGAAGCAACAAGAGGAGAGGCGAGACAGGCGGATGTGGGCAAACCTGGTTTGGTCACGGTCCATTCAGATGGGGTCAGATCAAGACAGTGCAAGTTGGGAATAAGGAGGGGAGGACTGAGCAGGAGAAGTCAGAACGAAGATGTAAGACAGGGCGGGTGTGGTGCCTGACATCAGGGCCATCATCTGGTGGTGCGCATCATATTTGGTTGGCACACATGGAGATCACAGGCCGGGAAAGGGAAGGGGCCAGGTACGGGCGGCACACACACATGCACACACACAGTAAGGAGGGAGGGGCCTGGAGACGGTGTACCGGATAATTACCAATTATATCTGCTGCAGGTTTATGAGAAGGCGCAATGAGGGAGGGCAATGAATGGAAGCTCGCCATATCATGTTTGAGTACTCCGTACCTTTGGTGTTATTGTAAGTACTTGTCTTTTACCTCCCATAGAATCCAATGGGACCTAAGTTCTGAGAGCATAATAATTGAGAAAGGTATCGCTCAGTACAGATACCTCACTTTGTGACTGAGGAACTTGTGTGGTCGAATTGCATCTGGAGGATGGAGGCAAGCGGGTTGCGATTGCCCAAGGTAAGGTAAGTGGACGGAGTCAATCCGGAGGTTGGAAATGGAAGACAAGAGGGGCCTCGGGGGCTCCGCAGTCTCGCAGCAGGAAATCAGGTACCTCGAGTCCTGCATCTGCTCCTGCTGTCTTTTTGGGTCCTATGTCCTATGGTGGAGTGTGCAATTACCAGGTTGCCATCTGTAATCAGCTGCAAAGGGAATGGTCTCGAGACCCAGTCAATTGGGCGCAGAAGGAGTGTTCATGCGACCCGACCGGGACAGGCGATCCAAATCTAAAAGAGCACCTACGCTCTCACCCTCTACGCAGTACTCCGTTACTCCGTACGGATACACGCACCGCAAGTTGCATGGAACTGCATAAACCAGGCTCCTGACACCTCAGCTCCTCTCTTGATGCTTGTCCACGCCGCCTGGCCAGCGGCAAAGTTGGGAACAGGCTTGACAGGCGACCCCCGAGAAAGCCAGATGGTTGCAAAGCATGAAGTGGAGGGGGCATGTTTGAGACCATGTAGCAGCCTCGTCAAAGGCTGAACTCTTGCGAACACTGACCTTGGAATACACCTCGAGACCTGATCTGGCAAACACCAATTGTCCAAACTCCATGGCCTGGATTGTAGGGAACCCAAAGTAAAAGAACGCTAGAGCACTTGCCACATGGGAGCAAGAGAAGATGGGCATATTCTATCTTGATGGTGAGGGCATCCGACACCACCATGCATACCTTAAGGTACTGCAGAGTACCTATCCATCCCTTGTCTTCGGAGGACCTATGCATCTGCAGCTCGCCTGCATCCATCTGGCATTCTTCCATCCACCCCGGCCACTAATTAAGGTAGACGACAAAGGCACGGTATCCGTACCTGACGACATTGGCATCCAAGTGGGAGCCAACTTCCTTCCTTCCTTCCTTGGAGGCTTAAGCCTTGGGCGCCTTCCATGTGTAGCTCTCCACGACCCTGGAAATCTCACTTTCACCATCTGTCACTACGACCAACAAGGCAAGGTCATTTGCTCTAGGCCCCTCCGTCACTTCCTCCGTTACTTTCTCCAAGATAGCTTGCTGCCTCCCTAGGTACCTCACGGATACCCAACCTCGAGCTAAGCAACCTATGAAAGTAGAGGAAGGTGCTCATGGTACTAAACGACTCTCGGTACCTTAACTACCTTACTTCGCACCTGACCAGTACCTACCTCACCTTAGGTACCTACCTACACAGTAAGTGCCTATGCAGCATTGGTGCACCTACCAAACCATGGCGAGAATGGACATCACGAACCAATATTCCTTATGCTCCTTCCCTTCTCCACGAACTCGTCCGAGTCTTGACAGCTAATTTACCTAGTACCTACTATGGAGTACTTGAGCCTGCCGTGCCTGCCTTCCATTTCATCCCACCAACATACCCTCCTTACCTTAAAACATGCCTTTAATCCCCATCCTACCACCTCTCCCCCTTCATGCCGGCAAATTCACAAGCTTCTTGGGTCTACGCTTCCACATCAAAGTTGAAACGAACCAAGTGACCCGGTCCATCCTCTTCACTTCTCGTCATATCCGTCTTTTTGGGGGTTCGTCAACCAGTCAGCTGTGTCTTGAATCTCTCCATCCCGCTGCCATATGGCCTGTCTGTTTCTGTGGCCCTGTCATTCGTCAGCCACCACATGACGTTCACGTCTGGCTTACAGCCGCATCATGTGCCGCTCCTTTGTTCAAATGAGACCCTGGAACTTCCCCTGTCGACTAACATTCAGCAAGGCATTTCTGGCATTCTTCGCCTTCCCAATCAACGTTCGACCAAATCATGCTCCCTGCCCCTCGAAGACTCGATGCACGCAAGATCGCACGCGAACCGCGCTACCACCTCACGGACTGATCACTTCTCATCTCCATCAACCCCTCCAAAAATCCAACTCCAATTCCCCTTGTCGCTGAAAGAGAAGGCGGAAAAGGGGCATTTCGTGACGCTGCCAATTTCGACATGACATCAAATTTCGGACCGCCCTAATCAATTTGACTTCCTGGTCAAACACCCCCAAACTTGATCAAAGCGCCTGGGAAGTCCCGCCGTAGCGCCCAGCCGCCAACGACTGGTTTAATCTCATCAGCCCGAACCACTTCCGAGTCCATTCCCACTGACAACCCCTTGACGTGTCCGACATCTCGGGCTCCGGGCTTGGGCCCCGGCAAAGACCTTGAGAAGCTCTTAAACTGTATCCCCGCACCCGGCCTTTGCGTCTTCAACTTCGCAGTATAGAACGCGTGTTCTTAAGCGCAAGACCAGGGAACGGCGCGTTCCTGTCAAAGTGGCAGCCAAAGTGACATAGACATTGACGCTCATGCCAGTACCTATCACAGCGCTGACGCCGATGTCTCCGGAAACCAAGAACGCGAGTAATTCATCAAGCGAGTGACAGATTAAAGGAAGCCTCCACTCCGTATGCACAAAATTATTATTACGTTGTCATTACTACCGAAATACGATGGACGGCAAATGAGTCGACCAACGAAGATGCGCAAACCGCGGTATTGCATTCCATCATCGAATAATGGTTCAATTCTAGCGTCAGCCTCTCTAGTGGCGCTTAACGAGGCTCAAGTAGTGTTGCCATCGTCAATACCGTAGTATGAAAGCCATTGAAAGACCCTTCTATGTTACGAGGGCTTCGCTCAGACCTTTGTGCCACGAGAACACTTCATCTCAGCCCAGCAACCGTTGTCCTTACTCTGCACGACATCGGGCCTTTAACAGTGACCTCTAGGGCTGGATTGACTGCGGGCCAAGACCCAAGGCAAGCCGGTCTTTCGCTTGGCTCTCGAGCTTCCAGCGCATCATGGAAGTGGAAACACGGAGCGAACGATAGTAAGCTGTGCGTCACAGCCCTACAGCATCAGATGCGCCTTTCTTCTTCGGACGGGAACAACATCTGTGGGCCTCTAGGCGGGCGAGAGTTGTTGCAGCACCACTATTGGGTCTTTGGAGACAGTGAGTATCGTAACAACAACCACCTTATGGGCGAATGATATTATCCGCACAGCGATGACTACAGTTGTCGGGTCCTGACTTTATCTCAGAGCCACTTCCATCCCGCAGAGTCCGAACCCCCGGAGAACTCCGCTTGCCTTCGCAATTGGGCTTTCATAGGCAAACCAGCATGGCGAGGGCCGCCAACGGGAGCGAGACGAGACTCGGCTATGACGTCGGAGGGAGGAGCACAACGCATATGGGCCACATGCACTGGGACGATAACCTTTGGGCCGGTATCATTGGGACGTCAGGACGTGATCATGGTCTATTTGACGACGCAGCAGATGTACGATCAACTCCGTTCCATTTGCGGTGCTAAGCAAATCCGATCCCTAAGGCCCAAGGTATAATGCTTCATTGAGCATCCGAAAAGCCTCCTGACTAGGCAGATATGACCAAATCCGTCCCTGATTCCCGTTGCTTTTTATTTTTGTCGTCACGCGTACCACGTTCAATGGCTGAGCGGGTTTAGTCAGTACCACCGACGGCACGGGCTGGTGATGAATGTTAGCTTTGCTGTTTCTCGTTGGATTCTCTCGTAAGACTGGAGGTTCGACGTACTGTAGATCTTCATCTTGCTGTGCTGGACAACGGGCTTAATGATGCCCTTCTCCTCAAGGTCGGCAAGGCATCTGCGGGCCAGGGAGCCGTTGATCTTGAGACGATCGACCAGGACGGCGACGGTCACCAGGCGGTAGGACTGAACATCCTTGTAGAGCTTGTCGGAGGTGGCCTTGTCGAGGATGACGGCGTGCTGGGCCTTGTCCTTGACCTTTCCCTTGGACCTATAACGATGGGTAAGTCGGGTGATCGATGGGTGGTAGAGAGGCAGTGGCGTCCGAGGATAGAGTATCGTTGGGGAATATTTCGACAAGTTCTTTGTGCGTGTGCATTGCATAGGATCATACGTACCACTATCGCGACAAGGTCAGCATTTTATCACTTCAAGACACATTTATGGGAACACGGGTTTTTGCGACGAACCTTCTTCTTTTGCTTCTTAGCTCCTGCAGCTGGCGCCTTTACATCCAATTCAAGTCAGCATCGTGATCCGGCCAAGTCGCGAATTTGTGCGTCGCGCACACGGGGGGAGGGGCGTCGTTTCGCGTGCGTACCATTTTGTCTGATTTGTGATGTCGTCGGTCGGAATACCAAAGGCACCTAGGTCGTCGGGAGTAGGAATTTCAATTGTATGAGGTTGCGGGAAGAGGTGCCACTCCAGAACCACCCCTCCAGGCCTTTCGGTTGGAGGGTTGGCCAACCCTAACAAATTGCACGCGGGTGGGTCCACTTTATCTACTTTGCGGGACCTGATTGGGTGCACACCACCACCGCCGCGGGTTGAAAAAAAATATTTCGCCCAGTGGCCCAGCGAGAGGACCAGAGCCCGGACCAAAAGCCCTTGGTGGTTCCGTTCCTTGTGCACCAAAGTCACGGTTTTCGAGGAGCGAGCTGGCAAAAATCGAAACCCACTCTGCGGCGTACTTTCGCACTTGGACAACTTCAACCCACGACCACCACATTTTCCCACCCCAAGCCTTTCTCGATCTTCCTTCCCAACAAGGTCTACTAACCCCCCAAAGGTCGAGCGAAAATGTCTGACGGCGGCGATATCGAGGTCGAGAGCGTGGGCAACTACGATGTCCTCCCCAAGGACGTTGTCAAGGAGGTCGGCAACGTCAAGCTCTTCAACAAGTGGGATTACGATGTTGAGGTCCGGGACATCTCTCTGACGTGAGTCCACCTCCCAACGCACTTTTTGTTCCTTCTTGCGCAGGAACGCGATGGACGACGACAAGAGCAACATCAATTCACCGAGGAGTCGCAATTAGGAAGGAACTTGGGACTTGGAGAATTCAAAAAGCTAATCGCGAACCGAATCGAATAGTGACTACATCTCCCTCCGCAACCCCGTCTATGTCACCCACTCCGCTGGCCGCTATGCTGTCAAGCGCTTCCGCAAGGCCAACTGCCCCATCATTGAGCGTCTCACCAACTCCCTCATGATGCACGGCCGCAACAACGGAAAGAAGCTCATGGCTGTCCGCATCGTTGCCCACGCCTTCGAGATCGTATGTCACCCACTCTACCGAGCCCGCACCCACAAGCCAAAAAACCTTTTGGCCAATCCGACACCAAGAGAACACACAACTGCAAGGAACAACAGTCGAGACTAACACATACCGCTACAGATCCACCTGATGACCGACCAGAACCCCATCCAGATCGCCGTCGACGCCATCGTCAACTGCGGTCCCCGCGAAGACTCCACCCGTATCGGTTCCGCCGGTACCGTCCGTCGCCAGGCCGTCGATGTCTCCCCCCTTCGCCGCGTCAACCAGGCCATCGCCCTCCTCACCACCGGTGCCCGCGAGGCCTCCTTCCGCAACGTCAAGTCCATCGCCGAGTGCCTTGCCGAGGAGCTCATCAACGCCGCCAAGGGCTCCAGCAACTCCTACGCCATCAAGAAGAAGGACGAGCTCGAGCGTGTCGCCAAGTCCAACCGGTAAAGGGTTTTTCATCACTCCCTTTTGTCTATGTGTTTTACCCCTCATGGAAAGGGCTATGAAACTCTGCTGCTGGGATTTGGAGAGGCGTGTGTCTGGGGACTGTGGGTGGTTTTGTCTTTCTTTCCCCGGGAAATAGTGGGAAAAGGCATCATCTTCTCATGCTCGTTCCCCGTGAACACGCTTGGTTTGGAGAAATGAGAGAAAGGGGAGGGAGCTAAGAAAGGCGGGCAACAAACGTGGAGGAGACCTGTTGAAAAAATGGGGGTTCCATCTACACCTCCCCCTTTTCCCTATTTCTCTATCGAGACGTCAAAAAACTGCTTTCTGGGGGACAAATCAAATCGGAGGCGTGGTATTACATAACAGGGCAATTCAACGTCTTTTTTCTTCACTCATGAACGAAAAGAAAGCGGTGTTTTGCGCTGGTGACCCTTTTTGTTTTGCATTTGCGCGCGTTTCGGGAAATGGGGGAACGCAGCTGCTACGGCATCTTGTCTCTTAACGGCTTAAAGGTGGTTTATTCCAATAAAAGCCGAAGCTCGTCAGAGCAAATGAACAAAACCCCGGCGTTTCCCCACGGTGTCTAATGTGAGATGAGAATGACATATCCCCCTTTTCCTCCTTCCAGTATCGCCGTATTGTCGATTGTATGAGACGCCTACTTCGGTGATGCCGTAACGTCATAGCATGTCACTGTTCCTTCATCATACATCATAGTGTCCTGTGAACACATGCGAAAACTCGACACGTCCATGTCGTCTTGACGAGACTACTAAGGTAATAGTAGTAAGGGACCACGGTCCCAAAAAAAAGCAGAAAGCCATCATCATGGGGTATCGTAAACCATCAAAGATCCCCCATCTCAATCAGCCAGACCCCATCATCAATCATTGCTAAGCTAGGCGATGATGCCTCCCCAGCCTCTCCTTCTGTTCTCTCCTTTTAAGCAGCCAACCTCCAGCCCAGCATCACTATTTCTATCCATTCTCTTCAAAGAATGGCCGTCTCCTCCCCGACATCCAACCGCATAAACATACCCTTGTGCTCGATCCCCTCCTCCCACCAAGTCCCCATCTCCTCGTCGACCCGGAACCCAAACTTCTCCCACGCGCCCACCACAGCCGCCTGCGAGTGCACGCAGACGAGGCCCCTCCACTTGGGCACCTCCTCGGCGCTCGTCGCCCCGATCGCCTCGAGTCCCATCTCCTTGATACTCGGGTCAAAGTAGCTCGGGTGCGCCCGCAGCCACGCCAGCGCCGTTGTGACCAGCAGCCTCGCGATCCGGTGTCCCCTAAACTCCTTGACCACGGCCAGCCGGCCCAGCTTGACGTACGGCTCCCGCCCGTCGTGCAGCGCCGTCGCGCGGTCCGGCGCAAAGACTTTGGTTGCCGACATGCGCCTCTCCTCGCCCACGTGCTCCGCCGCGCTCTCGATCTTTTCCTCCACGGGGCTGCTCGTCGACTCTGAAGACTCCTTGTCACCCCCGTTCAGCGCAAGATCCGCCGCCGCCGCCGCCGCCGCAGGATCCTCCTTCAACACCCCGTCCCAGTAGACGCCCCCGTCCTTGGGGTGCGGGGCGTGGGGAAAGGGAACGAGGCGGATGGTGCCGATGGGCGTGCTGCGGGTGCTGCTGCGGCGGGGCCGGACGACGTTGCCGGCCTCGTCGAGGACCTCCTGCTCGACGACTTTGTTGACTGACGCGTACGAGACCCAGTGGCAAGCACGGCTGTCGTCGGCGTCGAACTCGTTCTCGGCGGGGACGCCTTGCTCCGCGACGAAGACGGCCTCGCGCACCTCCATGGCGTCGCAAATCTCCTTTGGTATCGTCGCCGGCTGCTCGTCGTGCGGCGCGCCGCGGATGTAGGCGTCGAGCCGGGTCGGCTCTAGGAGGGACACGAACGGTGTTCCCATTGTGAAATGTGTTTTTTGTTTTGTTTTTTTGAAGGAAGGCTGTGGTAGGAGGAAGTTGGGTTTGTGCGAATATAAGACGGTTTTTGTCTCTTTCTCGGTGGTAGGTATGGAGATGAGATGGCGGCTGGTGGGATGTGTTCTGGAAGCCGGTTCTTCTCCTCTCTCTCAAGTAGTGTTGCCGGTTGAGCTTGAAGTAGAGTTGTAGTCGGATGAAGTAAGAGGTGTCCGTTTTGACTTCAAGGCAGCAGCAGTATGTTTTGCAAAAAGTTGAAATTGCATTAGTGTCGAGAACTGCAACCCAGCGGTCTCATCTTTTTGATGCAAGGAAAGGCGAAGTATTATGAGAGGTTCGGGCAGGTAACTAAGGGTAAGGGTACGTGCTCTCTGAGGTACCTTCCACCTCACCAAACAATTTGTTTGGCAAGTCCCGTAAAAGCGAAGAAAAAAAACGGGGAACGGTACAAGCACCGCCACCCACTTTTCGGGTCCGGTCGTCATCTGGCAGGGCCGGACGGTCATCTGTTTGTGTGATGCTTTCCCTTTTCACTTGTCTCTCCCACCATCCTAGACACAACTCAGGCGCGCAAAGCAAAGGCAAGACGATAGCCCAGACCGCAGAAATGTATCCAGCCGCTCATCGGCCGGCGCTTTGTGCGGATCACCCCCCAGCTCTTTCCCATCGCCCCCCCACCACCCACGGCGCAAAAATGACGTTGGTAGGCACTCCTCCCCGGCTCCCCGGGTGGCGTTGGCGGGTGTGGGTACCCTTTGGACTGAGCTCCGGGTGTCGACAGCCACTGCCAGATACCTTACTACCTAGACCGCCCTACGTAACTAACCAGACGTATGCTTCCAAACATGCTGCATATCTCTTTCTTTCAGGGTCCCTACTTCACGTGTCCTCCCGTCTCATGCTCGATCTAGAAGCTCCCATTGGGCAAGGCACCAAGATCGGCGGTGGGATATCCCCCAAGGGCTCTTCTAATGCGTCCCTTGATGAGACGGCGGCGAGCTTATTGCAGACTGAAGTATGTAGCAACCCTGCCATCCATAATAAAACTTCATGAAGGGCAGGAGGGGCACGTCTATCCTGCTCGAGGACGGATTTAACAGAGCGGAGGGGCAGCTTTTTGTCGTCTTGGTAGCCACCTGTGGTCCAACAACGCTTTTGACTGTTCCGTTCCGTGCTAAGATGACATGTCACTGAAGCCCACGCCGATCAGCTTCTTCATCCCGCATTCCGCGTACTCTACAGTTATGCGGAACCTTCAGAGAACAGCTCGACGCAGCCAAGGCCATGTATATCGATGGCACCCAGATGAGAGCTTTCTATTTATGCTCCACTGCCACCGGCGTTGCCTCTATCGTTTTAGAAGAGGAGTCGGGATGCGAGCCTAGAATTCCTAATTCCAGGCCGAGATGGTAACATTGTCATCGCGTGCTAAAGTCCAGAAGGAGACAGACATGACCTTGAATGGCTCAGTTGCGCCGCTCTTGTTTGCGAATAAATCCCAAAGAGCTTTCAGCGGTGATCTTTGTCAGGAGTCTACTATGTTTTGTGGGCAGCCATACCCGACTGGTATTATATCTGTGTGTGTGTGTGTGTGTGTGTGTGTGTGTGTGTGTGTGTGTGTGTGTGTGTGTGTGCTGGCAACGGTAATCTGGGACAGCTTATGAACACCCCGTCTCAATGAGATCTTACACAGCTTCAAATTTGAGATTAAATACCGAAGATGCGCTACAAAATCTTGCAGAAAACCACAATGATGATGATCGAGAGTTCAGAAACATGGTCGGGTCAGATGTGGCTTCAAGGCAAAAAGCGCAATAAGAGAACAGAAAAAGGATCCTCAAAGGATACTCGCACAAACATTGGCATCCAACTGTGAGAAGCTATTCGCATACCGTCACGGCCAAGCAACATTGTAGTGACTGAGCCATACAGCTTTCGCGCCAATCTCTTTTCGCTAGCGGAAAGCAGATAGACACCTGTTGGACACAGATAAGTGGTAGAAAGTGGAAGCAATCATAGTATATCTATTTTGATAGGGGGTTTTCGCAAGTACGCAAAAGCCAAAAAAGTCCTCAGCAGCCAAAAAAAACGTATTGTCGCACTGCGTTTTGCCACAGTGGTCAAAACGTTCTGTATAAACTCCTTGCCCAAAGAATATTCCGTCCGCTACTCAGACCGAGAAAAGTGTTTACGCGGTGACCTCGATGCTCTGCTCAACGCCGTCGGCGCTGCCAGAGTTGACCTTCTTGCCAGTCTTCGAGATGGTCTGGAGGACCTTCTCGTAGGGCAGGCTCTCCTCGGCGATGACGGTGGCGGTCTGGCTCTCGAGGGAGACTTCGTACGACTTGACGCCTGTATTCGGGTGAAGCTTCGGTCAGCACGTGTTTCTTTCTTTCAATGTATGGGAAATGCGCCTCTGTGCAGCGTTATGTATGTCCGTTGTCTCCCGTCATCTCTAAACAGACGAGACATGCCCAAATCTGTGCACGGCGCCTGACAGCCGAATACCGGTCACCTCGGAGTCATGGCCGAGGACCGATAACGGTAGGGACAAGTTGCGAATCTGGAGTAGGGGATGGCATGGGGGAGGAAATCTGTGGGGAGAGGGGACTAACCATCCAGCTTCTTCAGGACACGGTCGACGGCGCCGGAGCAGCCGCCGCAGCTCATGCTGACGTTGAACTTGTAGGTGTGCTCAGCCATTGTGTCGGTTTTGGTAGTGGTGTTTGGAAGGAGGTTGAGAGGTTGGAAATTCAGTGAGTTGCAGGTGGGAGAGTTTGCGGTATGGCGTTTGGCGGGGTAGAAGAGAGCTATTAAGGAGGGGCAAGGAAAGCTCCAGTCGTTTATAAACCTGGGTGGTCGCTTATATTACGAGAACAGTGAACTACGGTTAGGAGAGAGAGAGAGAGTATCTTTAATTCGAAAGTAAAATCAGAGGGAAATCGTCGGAAGACAGGATGAGATGGTGGTCACCTGGACGATTATATATCTGTCCTCCTTGGTGCTGCCAAATCGCATTATTAATTCCCATAGAATCGCCCGTCGATGGCGCAAGAGCATGGAAAGGCCGCGCAGCACGCTCACTGACATCCGAACCCCCCAGTAGCCGCTAGCGCCGAATTGAACCCAACCACCCCCCAGAGAAGAGAGTCCCCCCGTCTCGCTTCTGAAACTTGCTCACCTCAGCCCTTTGCAACTTCCAAAATGCTCTTTTCTCTCTCCCGAATCACCCCCCTGAAACAGAGAGGGACCCCCATTCCCGCCGTAAGGTACTGAGCGAGCGCATTTCATTTCAGAGTGACAGTGACAGTGGTACAGATGCACAAGTGTAACTCGAAGTAAAGTAAGTACCTTACAAATGCAGAACAGATATCCGTACTCTCTTGCGATTTGCGACTACAGACCCTTCACACGTGAGATGTCCCAGGTTCCAGGAAACGCCTCCGTATTCTTTCTTCACACTTGGCAGATCGTCCTTGCTTCCGCCCCCCTTCTTTCGTTCCGACGTTCATGGATGTCGCGTGCGGTCGAACCCGCAAGTTAGTCTGCTCGCGCTAGGACAGGGGTCCGTGTGCATGTTGAAGACGACTGCAAGTTGATGTCGGGCTGATACGTAGGAGTAGTATGGTAAGAATAAACGAGATGGACATCATTTGATCAATCTTCTTGCTTGGGTATCGATGCTCTATACCTCTAGGAAACTATCGAGGGCAACAGGCCCTTTATCTAGATAGGCACACCCAGTCGATCGTTGCGGCTAGTTTGCCCCAGGCTGTTGACGTGCCTCATCACTACCAACATCCTCGTCGCCGTCAATCAGAGGCGGCATTTCCTCATCCGTGCCTTCCGCCTCATCGTCAACGGTTGGCTCAGCCGGCCAACCACCAGGTATCATAGACGCCAGCAAATCAGCAAGCCGCTGCACCACGCCAGCCGATGGGGGCTGCCCTCCTTCACCCTCCAGAAAATCGTCTTCGTCGCCGCCCTCGCCTTCAGAGAACGCTCCTTCCCATGCGTCACCAAAGTCGCCATCGCCAGCGTCATCGTCGTCTTCAGGGAACGCACCCATCATACCTCCCAAACCACCAGCTCCTGCGGCCGCGCCAGCTCCAGCGCCCCGGGCCTCGGCTCGCTGATGCTGTCTGCGAAGCATGTTGAGAAGCGCTCGCTCCTGTGCGAGCATACCTCCACCCTGCCCGCTGTCCTGTCGCCACGGCATCCGGACTCCCTCACTCGTAAAGATGTTCTCATCCTCCAGAGGCGGGAGCGGATCGAAGGCGTAGTTTGGCTCCTGGGTAAGAATGGCCCTTGGAATGCCACTCAACAAGGCCGGAGTGTCCTCCAGCCACGTCCATCTCGCTGTACGGGTTGTTGCCGGCATATCCTCAGGGAGCGTCTCTGTCGGCTTCTTCGCAAGCTTGACGGCTTCTTTGAGCAAGTCGATTGCTTGCGTGTTGTTCCAAATGTCCTTGGCCTGGTGAACGTACAGCTTCGTCCAGAACTCGCGCTCGTCCGTGTCAGGTCGGACTCCCCACAAGGGAGGCGGCGCTTCCAAGTTCAGCGCCTGGAAGAGAGCACAGTATAGCCACGGCAACCGCTCCATGCCGGCCACTGCAGTCATCTTTGCTCCCTCCGTGTCGCCCGACTGGAGCTTGGCGAGGACCATGGTCTGCTTGATGTAGGTATCATCCGTCTCGTCCGCCACAAATTCACCAGTGTTGAGGAACTCAATGAGCCACTGTGCTTGGCGTGCTCGGATCGCTAGAGTGTGAATGAAATACTTCATGCCGTAGGGATCATTCGGGTTGAGACTGAAGAGAAGCTTTGCCCACTCGAGGGCCGTCCGGTAGGTTCCCTTGCGGATGAGACTCTTAAGATATGTATATCCCGCCAACCAAAGTTCGCGGTTCTCGGGGCGGCGGAAGTCCAGACGAGCCTTGCCCTGCTCCAATTTTTGTCTAAAGGCGGATGTCGTAGATCGACCGAA